GTGTGCAATTGTGTGTGACTGTGCGGGCGGAGCGGGTTGCGGGACTGTGATGTGGGAATCGGTAAGCGGGGTGGACGGTGCAGGTTAGCTTCTCGCGCGCTTCCCGGCTGTTTGAGAGAATGTGAGCTTTGTTTATTAGAACGTTGATTAGTCTGAGCGCGGGAGCACGGCTTTGTTGAATGCTTTCGCGAGCGCTCCCGAAAAAAAAGCATTCTGCAAAGCCGCGCGCGAAGAAACCTTGTCAAGAGATGTTGGTATGTAGATCTGTTATGACATGCGTTTAAACCTCGCCAAAAACTAAAAAAAACTGAGATCGAAGGCCGCAACTTAGAAACTCAATAAAGTCTGGCTAGCGAACAAAAAGCAATTCATGTAACTTTAAAGTTTGTGCATTAAAAAAAAATAAGAATAAAACCTTGAAGCAGAATTCCTGTACAAGAGGTGCAACTGCTGCACTGCTGTACTTTCTTGGCTTCTTCACACTCAGAAACCAGAGAAACAGCGAAATAACAAATCCCACTTTGGTAAGCAATTGATGCTACTTTATCAGTGAACTGAGCCGACTTAATCAGCATGCATACAGGCACCGCTGTATAGAAACACAACTGCACCAGTAACACAACAAAACGGAAATAAATTGCCTTGGTGCCTTTCCTCACAATGTGTTGTGAAGGAATCTGTCTTGTGAACATCTATCATATCAGCAAAACAAGGGAAAGTGTTTGAAGGAAACGTCATTAGGAGGGAACTTCAATGACTATGACAATATTCCGTTTTAGCCTCACTTATTAAACAGAAAAAGCAACGGCTACGGCGAGCAGATCGTAGCCACAGTCATGTGACAGCATACTTTCGAAGTGACTTTCTCCTATGATGAGCTGACATGTGGTTCGCCCCATCACTCAATGGCTGTAGCATTCGCCCGTTACCAAGTTATGGTGAAATAGATCAGCAGATTGAGTTCCTGTTCTATTCTAGGATGATATTTCTGTAACACGGCATGTAGAATTTTGTAACTGTGCATTAAGCAAAAAAGGTTAAAGCTGTGCCCTTGTTGCAGATATGCTTCATAGAAACAAAAACTTGCCAATGATGGCTCATGTTGCACAAAATAACTGTAGTACATTGAGGATTATCAAATGTTTTTATTTGTACGAATGGCAAGAGAGGCATAATTAAGACCATTGTACATTTATTTTCAAGTATCAAGAAGAAACTATATTTCAAAAAGTTCAGTGGAAAAGCATGAAAAGAAACAGCAGCAGTTCAAGTCAAAATCGTTTGAAGTGTCCTACAGGTCAAGATATAAAAATTTAACATTCAAGAATATGAATTGCAGTATGTGCATGTCAAAATGTGGTACATCTAGAAGCTTACTTGACATCCAAGACCTAATATGTTCCAACATATTAGGTCTTGGATTGTTTGTAATAAAAAGGCTAGCATTCACATGTACGGTACAGTAAACAACGAGCAAAATGAAACCCTTGAGCGTAACTCCAAAACATGATAAAACGGTAAACTGATGAAGTAAAATACTGTCGCACTGAAAAAGATAGTTGAAGACACGAATTGACACATGACAAAGAAAAAAATTTACGCCATCTTCCCGAGGGGAACCATGGGGTGATGCGGAGCATCGCGGATCGTTATTAACGGTGTTAGTAACGTTGTTGAACTTCACGGTCCCGAACCTCAGGTTCTGCTGCTCGACGTTCACGAACCAACGCGGCTTCACGTTTTCGAAGGTCGGGTTCCGCCGCTCGCTTCGTACGTTTACGTTGAACTTCACGATCCCGAACCTCAGGTTCTGCTGCTCGACGTTCTCGAACCGCCGCTGCTTCACGTTGTCGTAGTTCAGCATCCGCCGCTCGACGTTGACGAATGGACGCCGCTTCTCGTTGCCGTATGGTTCAGGGTCTGCCGCTCGCTTCAAGCGTTTGCGCTCAGTGTCGCGTGCCCTTCGCTGCGCAGCTTTGTCTTCAATGGACGTAGCGTTGCTGTTAGTCTGTGGGGTGGTGCTAACGCTTGCTTGCGCCAACCCACTAACTGACGGGACTGTTCCTTCCATCACATTTCATCGGAAGAACGGAGTGAAGTGGAGTCAACAGCGGGTGAACTGAACGCGCGCAGCGCGCTGCCGCTGCTTATATTCACACTTTAAGGAGAGGAGACTAGAGGAGGAGAGTTGCGCATGCACGCGCGGTGTGAGTAGAAGCGAACGCACATGAAGTGCACGCACCTGGTAGAGAGAGAGAGCGTAGAGAGTAACGCGCAGCTGTTGGAGAGAGGAAAGGAGGAGAGTTGCGCATGCGTAGTGTGAGTGCGGACTACGACGCCATGGGACATAGACCCGAGCAAGAGATGCTCCGCATCTAATATAAATAAACCGTACAAATCATAAAATATGCATCGAAAGATACCACAATTAAGATTCTGAAGTGTTAAGAATAATCCACACAAATTGCATCTACTAAAAAATGCCCCAAAACGAAAATAAAAAGCACACTCAAGACATATGCAATGCAGTAGATATCACTGAAGAATAGAAGATGTAAAGCTTGCTGAAACATTAAAAAAATGGACTTTAAAAATCTGGAAGATGCAAAATTATGTTAACAATGGACAAAACTTCTGGAAGACTAACAAAACGGTCCATAGGCAATATATTCAATTATCTTTCTGGAAGCCTAAATTACTTCAAGAAAGATAAGAGCTACACATTGAGTCACAGTATAAATGGAAAATACAAAAGTTACTCCACGTTGACCATGTAGCTCAGGAGGTTATTTCCTTGTGATCATTTTCTTGTCCGTGACTTGTGTCTAGATCCCTGTTGTTTTCCTATTTTCCGTAGTAGCAGAACCAATCCCCTCTAGTAACAGTTTTCTTGGTGCTACCTACGCAAGGCCTTTAAAAAAGCAAAGAAGCACTTGTTCAGATGGCAGTCACATTGCAAGGCCAAAATGAAACAAAAGTAGTAAGAATAACTTATTTTTAGCCATTGTCTATGCTACTCTTGGAAAATTTTAGCTGAAGCTTTTCTCCATACTTGTGCATAGTCTGCTCTTCGTGAGTAAGTTTTGATATTTAGCTTGCATTAAAATACAGTTTTAATTAAAGTCATTAGCTCACCAGTGGTACCACTCCATGCACAGGTCACACGCTATCATCTTGATGGTGTGGTCGTCTTCAAGGTCACATTTATGGCAAAACAACAGACCTTGCTGTCTCTTTTCTTTCACTGAAACATTAGAAAAATAAAAACGGGGTTATGTTCTACAGCTAAAAGCACAATTGCAATAGAAAAACTGCCTCACATTTAAAGCCAGATCCTATACGTACAAAGTTCGTTGATTTTGCACCAAGCGGCTCGAGAGAAGTACTTCTTCAATGTGAGAATTGGAGCTCGGGCGTCTAAGGCACCACTTAACAATGATTTTACAGGTGCCAGAAATATCCCGTTCCTGTATGCAGTACCCATCCTTTAATGTGTCGGATGCAGTTTCGCCGTCGACGAACCAGTGCAGCATACCTATAAATTACCGCAAAACTTATTTATGCAACTAAATTTCACCAACTAAATGCCTAATTAATGCACTTACGCAATGTCTTCTGCTTTGTGGGGAGCGCTGCAAATAGACAATGTAATGAAGCCTGGTTTGTCTTCATTGTAGAAGAAACCCTAGTTCCTGTGCAGGAATCATCCCATCCACAGAGTTTTCCGCGTGGTCGCTTGCGGGCTGACAGCCTCACGTCTTGCAGAGAACTGTTCACTGCTGCACTTGCTGCTGTATCTGCTGTATCAAAGACTAAACAAAACAAAACCTGTTAAGAAGCAATTGAAAGAAAGCCACAAGTCCTTCATACCTCCAAGCCTTGGCTAAAATCTCCCTTAGCAACTCTTCATCTGGTCCTGCTGACTCCGGGAGCTGCAAGAAACCAAAAATTACCAGATTCCAAAAACAAAATATAGGACTCTAGACGTTAAAACCTTGGCCAAATTCCATAGAGAGAGACTTCTGCGGCAAGCCTTTTGGTCCTGCTGCCTCCGAGAGCTGCACGAAAGGAGAAATTAACAAAGTTTTCAAAAACAAAATAAATCAGGGACTCTAGACCTCGAAACCTCGGCTTAATTCCATAGAGAGCGACTTCTTTGGAAAGCCTTCTTTTGGTCCTGCTACATCTGGGAGCTACAAGAAACGAGAAATTAACAAAGATTTCAAAAACAAAACATAGTGCTCAAGACCTCGAAGCCTTGGCTTAATTCCATAGAGAAATACTTCTTCAACAAGCCTTCTTCTTGTCCTGCTGCATCTGGGAGCTGCAAATAGCAAGAATTTAACAAAGATTTCAAAAACAAAACCTAGCATTTCAGACCTCAAAGCCTTGGCTTAATTCCATAGAGGAAGACTTCTTCAACAAGCCTTCTTCTGGTCCTGCTGCATCCGGGAGCTGCAAGAAACGAGAAATTAACAAAGGCTTCAAAATCAAAACCAATGACTCCAGACCTCAAAACCTTGGCTCAATTGCATGGAAAAAGACTTGCTCCGCTTACGTCAAGCCGGAGAAACCGAGGAGTGTTTGTACCGCGTGAGCACTTTCTCCACCCTGCAACGCAGAGCTGCGCGTCACCGCGCCACCTCACAAAGGCGTGACGTCATCATCAAGTGATGCGCACACTACAAAGAGAAGTGGTGGATTTCTCCCCCGTGTGAATACCTGGCAGCCTTTGGGAGGCACTGGTGCCAAAGACTTAGCTGCAGGCACGGTAGATGGCCACAGTGTTATACAAGAAAACTGGATGAAGCGGCAAAGGTAAAAAACATAAGAGGGCAAGGGAGAATGACTCGGTACCCGGGAGCCTTGTTAACACACTGCTGCCGGAGACTTAGCTGCAGGCACTGGAGATTGCCGCAGTGTTGTGCCAGGAAACTGGATGAAAGAGCACAAGTCAAAACATTCGAAGGCAAGGGAAGAAGACTCAGTACCTAGGAGCTTTGGGAAGACAATGCTGCTGGAGACTTAGCTGCAGGCACTGGAGATGGTCGTAGTGCTGTACCAGGAAGCTGGATGAAAGAGCACAGGTCAAAATTATTCGAAGGCAAGGGAAGAAGACTCAGTACCTCGGAGCCTTGGGAAGACACTGCTGCCGGAGTCTTAGCTGCGGGCACTGGAGGTGGACGCAGTGCTCTGCCAGGAAACTGGATGAAGGAGCACAGATCAAAAACATTTGAAGGCAAGGAAGAAGGACTCAGTACCTGAGAGCCTTGGGAAGACACTGGTGTCGGAGGCTGGGCTGCAGGCATTGCAGGTGTCCTTGGTGCTGTGCCAGGGAACTGAATGAAGTAGCGCAGGTCAAAAATAATCAAAAGCAAGGGGGAACGACAAGTACCTGAGGGCTTTGCCAAGAAACTATTTCCGGAATGTTGGTTGCAGGATGTTGCAGTTCTGCACCAGGGGATTGGATGAAGGGACATAGATTTAAAAAAAGAAACAGATGCAAAAGAAGGGGACCTGGTACCTGATAGGCTGGCAAGCATGGCAATGAGGTGTGGTCATGGTTGCTAGGGGTTGATGCTTCTGAGACACTTGCAAATTGTGTCACTGCAGTCCTGTGAGGAGGCATCTTCATTGCTTTCGGTGCCACTGCTGCACCAAATTTTTACCGCCCTATTTTTCATCGATAAGGCCTTTAGTTTTATTATTACAATAATCCGGCACTTGAATACTTCCGAACCGCACTCCGCCACCAGGTCCCCAATGTCCTTGAGCAGACAAAGAGCATGGTTGTACTGGGCTCCTTGAGGCGGTACTGTAGTTCGGTTCTTTCAGCTGCGTGCACTGAAGCTGCGGTGCTCCCAATTGCTGATTTCTGGAAGAATGTACGGCTGTGACACGATCTTCCGCCTGGATTTTGGCGCAGTAGCAACGTCAACTGCACGTCCAGTTTGCTACGATACAAGAATTTCATGGCGGCATATTACTCTCATTGCAGTACAAACTCTGCACGTGCAGTTCGCCAAAGTGTAGAGTATCTCATACACGCCTCTCTGGGTTGTGACTGTGTAGTCCTCTGCATCATTTTAATGCATGCTCCAGCCATCTTATTTGCTCTTTCCTCTAAACATACTACTGCCTGTGAAGCGGCCGGAGTCAACAGTGAAGAACATTGCTGAATTATATCAGAGCTGCTCCTGTACGTGAAGAACTTCGTGGTGGCATCGAGGGCGTGCCTGTGCCCTGCTTCGATGATCTTGATGCTGTACAGCTTCAGCATAGACTTAAAAGTTGTATGTAGTTTGCATTCGCTTTCAAGACTGCCTTCAGTTTTGAATTGTGACATTCAACTCCGTTCGTGGTGTTGCTGCCGAGGTTGAAGTGTCTGTCGCAACTATAGCGTACCTACATGTCTTGGATGCATCCCAGTTCTTGTTGAAATACTCTGTAAAGCTTCTGTTGGCCGTGCGGTCTAGTTCTGCTTTAAGAACTTGGTATGCCTCTTCATTTGGAGCATGGATCATTCGCTCCAAAAGACTGTTGAGCATCTTCTTGTCACTGTCCGTCTTGCTGCTACCAACAGCCCTCTTTAACGCCTTCTTGACATGAAATTCACACAGCTGAATTTCATGTCAAGTGCCTGGCGAAAAGTTGTCACGGATGGCTCTGATTTCTTTGAAGTCTATCCGCGATGACACACTTTGTCTTGTGCGCTCCTTGGAGGCCCACAAAGGTCCTCTTCATAGCGTCCATGTGGACAAGATCCTCGCTGCTTACGAAGCAGTAAGTCACAACTTGGCTACACCCATTTCCGTCGACCACCATGAGAACAAAAAGGGCCATTGTCAAGTTGTTGGTCCTATAGGTGCCATCGAGGAGCAACACTTTGGGAAACTTCTCGTAAAACTGTGCCATCATGGTAGTTTGAATGAGAAGAAGCTCCATCTCATTGGATGTACTTGTTCCGAGAGTTATCGCTGCAGTGGGGTCTTTTAAAGATTTCTTTGATCTCTTCGGCAAGTTGGTCAACATCTGGCTTCTTGCTCACTTTGAAACGTGCAACAACATTCTCAATGTCGTTTGCTGTCAGCGGTTTTCCAGTTTTTGTTTTTGTTGTTGTTGTTGTTGTTGCTTTTTTTTGAGAAAACCGCAGAAGTGATGGATTTGATTGAAGCTCATTTACCGGTTCTGTGGCAAGAAGCGCTTTCTCAGCAGTCAGGCGGCGATTTTGTGGGTAGTGCCGAAGTACGGTCTCACTCACCTCGTGGTTCGAGTGCTTAAGGCACACATCAACTACTACCAGCTTCTGAATGTCTTTCTTACCGCTGCACTTAATTAGCAAATGCTGTACAGTCAACTTTTGTTTTTTCTGAAATGAAAGCAAGTTGGTTATCAGATAAAGTTGCCAACAATGTAGGGGTGAAACGACATCATAAGAGTAGTTCTATTTGTTTTAAGTATTACTACTACATAAATTCAACCCATCCTTCTCGAAAAGTAATATCTAAAAAATGATCAGTGGCCCCAAATAGGTCATATTCACATAGCATTGATTTACCATAATTCTGGTACCCGGGCTTCGATGGCAGCTGACTGAAGCCCACACAAAACATGAGCAGGTCGAAGCTCATGAGAACAATGCAAAAAAGTGCCCGATAAGTCTTGTAGCGGCAGCCGACTTTTCATTAGGAGACCTAGGTAGCTTCTCCTAATGAAGTGTTGGCTGCTTCTCCGAGTCTTATCGAAAGCTCTATGTAACGTAAAGTTGACCGAGTGAAACATTTGAATTATTCTTTATCACTTACAAAATCATTTTCGCAATCAAACTATGCTTGTCGGAATGGTTCAACTGTACCTTGTTTCAAAAACCACTTCGGTGGCTCTTAAGTGGCGATGATATTAAAACAAAACACAAAGCATTAAAACGTCTTAGTGTCTCTGAGCCAACACGCTGGCCCATGAATTCATGTTTAACCGGTTTAAATATCGGCCGAGGTGCCCGCACTCCGACGGAGGCCAATCTGAGATTTCTGTTGCATGTCAAAAGATCTCCAGTCAGTCAAAATAAACGAGCAATATAGTTTTATTGGGGCGTGCTAAGTAATCGTTGTTGGTTTGGCTTGTAAAACCCAAAGATTTGAATATTTGCTTTCCTTTACCTTCGTTCGGAGCGCAGCCAACACTACGGGCTGATCAAGCAACTGAAGCAGCGCCGAGAATGCGGGGTCAAGCAGTTCGTTCTCTTTCTGTGCCTGTGCGGTCGGGCTAAACTAGAGGCACTTAATAAGCTACGCTTCATACACATCTTGGTGCTTAAAATGATGGTTATCAGTTAGCTGGAGCTTTATCTGAAATCACAGGAAGCGCTTTTCTGTGCTCCAGAAATGTTTAAACAGTTCGCGACAAAGCGAAGCAATAATACATGAGCTTCCTAACACAGAAACTAATGCTGAGGAAGTCGCACTTTTGAATCATGACGATCGGCAGTTGCGTTTGATTTGTACTAACCACCAAGATGGCGGCGCCCACAACAATATCGGGGAAAAGAGTGCCGATACTCTAAGCGCAGCTCATTTGGTTTAGCTCACAGGCTAAACCAAGTGCGGTGGGAGATCGTTGGACGAGTGTGTTGTGGCACCGCAGATCAGAGCAGAAGGAGAAATTCGCGAGTGCGAACTCCGTTCAAAGAACGGAGCTCACGCTGCAGAACCTGCAGGGACTTAAGCCCCTTGACGTGTTTGCGTTGGTCTTTCAAGTAACGTCAGAAGGTTGCATGGCAAGGGGGCCCGTGTCTCGAGCGGCCCTTGGAGACAAATGGCGGCGCAGAACTAAAATGACAGGCCCAATTGAAAGCGAATGGCGGCGGAGCACCCGCTCGTGGCACGTGTCTTGCGCGTTCCTACAAAAATGGTTAGCGGTACTTGCAAAAAACACCTTTATCAAGGGGTTTTAGCAGGGACCCTGGGTACTTTCGCCCATCTGCATCCTACCGTCGTGCGATCGTGTATCACATGTACTGCGTGATGCACGTTAAAGACCCTGACCTAACAGTTGTACTGCACTTTTTTATAATCTACAACGGGTAACAATGTAGCCCTACGAAACTCCTGCTCTCTTAAAAACTATCGACTAATTTTGAATGCGCCGTTCGACTAAATTTTTAATGTGTGTTCGCGTGTTCGCGTTCTTTTTTCTTTTTCTTTTTGTCTACATTTTTTATTATGCGGCTTTTACTTGCGATTAAACAGACTATAGTGTCGGACTTCTGGAAAAATATTACAGAACTAAGAAAATGGCACGTGAACGCAAAAGACAAAATACAACAAAAAATACATAGGCGCACTTAATAAAAATAAATAAAATATTATAATTGATTACAATTGCGTTTTAAAAGGTTTGAGCGCACCAAAAGCTATAAAAGCGAGCTCCATGGTTTGAACGGTGCGCCTGTTCACTGGAAGAGTAGTTCAGGGCAGCATGCTCGCACTTGTATGTTCCGCTTCGCTCGCACGATAAAACCAAATACTTTACTGGTAATGTATTTACTGAAACAACGCTTATTTTCTGCATATGTGCAATGCCCTCAGTTTTGACATGATTACACACTTGTTTATCATTATTGGGGGAGAGGAAGAAAAAGTGAACTGGAAGAGACGCACATCCTCACCGCTCTGTATATTTCTTACTTTGAAATATCGCAAATTCGCCCTAACCTTGCGACAAAGGCCTCAACGCCCCGGCGAACTTCGTCGGTAAGCGTGCAAGCTGCACGTTCTCGACTTTCGAGGGAATTTCGACTCTCACGAAGCAAAGAGTCGCCGCCCTTCGCTAGGCCTAAACCACTCTATGACCAAGCAAGGGGTGCGGCGTCCCAGTCTGGTAGAGTCTCAGCCACTATGGCTTCAGCTGGTCCCCGCTCCCGGTCTCTTGACGTCTTTTCAACTCCCGGACCCACGGACGGTGACCCTATGATGTGAGCGAGCTACTAGCGCCACCTACCACGGCCCGCTCTTTTAATCGTTACCGTCAGGACTGGCCGAACAAGTGTTCCGGCCTGCGCTCTCTGTTTTGGCGCGACCGAGCCATGTGGCGCGTGAGCGCCTCGTTCCTTTTCTTAATTATTGCCAGTTAATAAACCTTTATTCGATTGTTTGGCCCCGCCCTCGCCTCATCGTCCTACGCCTCGCCTGGCCGACGCCCGGCCGTAGTCCTCACAAAGAACTCGACCATGTTAGGAAATGGAACAATGGAGGCATCACTACACCTGACAAGTGATACCATCACCCCATGCAACCAAACCAGGGCTCTGCCTTGCGCACAGTCTACGTCTTCCA